AAAAAAAAAAAAAAAAAAAAAAAAAAAAAAAAAAAACAGCAAATAAATAATCTGAGAGTAGTCATACAATCAAAGCAAAGTGACCCATACATTTTTAGAAAAGTGAGCATGAGAGTTATTGGTAGATTTATAAATTATATTTGAGATGAAGCTCCTTAAAGCATTTCTCAATTTATGATTAAATATTCCAAGTTTGCATTTATAGATATTAGGTTTAGTTTCTGAATTACTTTTGTGCCACCAGCATTCACCTTTTAAACATTAAATTTTTTTAATCTGACGGACTCAAATTTTCTCCAAGGTGGTTTATGTTTTCTGGAAATTATCTAAATTGCATTAAAAACAATGGTGTCAACAGCATTATCAATTTTAAACCTAAAATAGTCTACTAATTTATTGAGAAAAGTCCATGGAGTCCAGCTTTAAAATATGGCAATGTATCACTATTTAGTCACTAGGTGGGTCCAGAACCTCAGTAACATAGCCTGCGATAATTAAAGGCTGGTATTCTCCAAACTATGTGTTAGTTTGAATATTATAGTTTTATATAACTGTTGGAGCTTTGTCTCCATAATGTTACCCATAGAGCTCAGGTAGCCTACATTCTCTGGATCTCTGGGGCTGATCCTAGATTTACTGTAGTTTAACAGTACTTTTGTGATGTGAGTTTTTTTTTTATTCTTCCCTTTTTAGTATAACAAACAATAGCCCTTGGCAGTCGATAATAACCAATTTCTTTGATAAAACAATTGAAGTAGCCATAAACAGCATAAAGCATTTTTTTTTTATTTAGCAGGTCCATAGCTACTGTACTACCTGCCCTCCTATGTCTGCCTGAGGTGAGTCATCATGTCAAAACAACCTACTGTATAATCCCAACAGCCTCCCTTTAAAAATCATCAATTTTGGGCTGTTAAATTTTAACAAGAAAATATGTCCATTTCGGTCACAGTTGTCTTATGACATATGTCATACACATTTTTTAATTCAGTGCTGTAAATTACCTTTACATATAAAAACAGTGCACTTAGTTGAACAAAAAAACCTCTCTTGATAAGTGACGTAATGTATGTAAATGTGTTAAAAATAAAAAGGTTT